CAGGGAGACTGACCAGAAAAGCCCCCGCTCCCCTCAAGAGGCGCAGAGGATCGCCCCGGGGGGCCACAACCAGCAGCCGGCAGAGTCCCGGGAGATATCGGAGGCAAGCCCACAGGCCCGCCCGTAGCCTCCCACCCCCTAGCCGGCCGAGCCCGGGACCCAATGACCCGGGACCCAGGGGCGACCACCCCCGCCGGGGACCCAGCAGAGCCCAGGGACCCCGACCCCACCAGGCAGCTACCGGGATTGGTCAGGCAGACACCAAAAATCTTAAACTCCTTGACCCGGGAGCCACGACCCAGGCAGACCAAGGCACCGCACCCCACACCAGGTGCGGCACGGAGAGGGGAGATGAAGATCTATATCACCAAAAAAGTCCCAGGAGAAGGGAGGAGTCAAAGGCCCCACCTGACATACACAGTCATACACAAACACAGTCACACACTCACTCCCTCATGCTCACACATACACATACAACCAAAGACTTACAAAAATGCACGTCGGACACCCACTCATGCTCCCCATACACACCCTATTCACTCTGGTCCCGGTACTGCTGCACATGGGGTACAACCACTACCGGTTCCAAGAGTTCGACCCTTTCTGCTGGGGTGCTGATGAGCAGGCTCCCCCACCCAACGCTGAGCACAGCAATCCACTACCCCAACCGGACGGCCGGATCTCCCTCCTAGCCTCCAGCCCCAGGAAGCCAAGCAACAACAGAGGTGTGCTAAGACCCCTAGTCTCCCTCCGCCTGCTCCAATATGGTGTTAGTGAGTGTTGATGAGGTGTATTCCATGGCTGTGGTGAGCTGGCAGTGCGGGCATCGTCTGGCCTATGCCAGCTGATGCCACCACACCACCCCACTTGCACCCACAGCCCTCAGTGTCTAAGTGCAGTTTAATATTGGGAGTGGGCACCGGCACTTGGGATGAGGCTGAGAAATCCCTCTGCCAAATGCTGTTGGATGTGCTCACTCCCAAGGCCCTAAGTGTGTGTTTGCATGGAATGTCGTTGGTGGAAGTGTTTACGGTGCAGATAAAATTGGGAGGCAGTTGCCACAGGAATGCGGAAATGGGGTCCATACCCAGACTCCCTGACTTGTCCACCCCCCAAGGTCCTATGTGCATGTTTGTGTGATGATGTGAGGGAGCAGGAGGAGAGAAATGTGTGGGGATGGGGAGGAATAGCTGGTTGGGCTTAGCCCTCCAGGGAGCCAGCTCCCCCACTGGCCCCAATAGGCACCTCTGTTGTCAAAATGTCACCCAGGGCATGGAGACCCCAGCCCATCCTGCCAGGGCCCAAAGCAGCAGCATTGCAGAGCCTCACGGAGTCCAATGGCACCAACCCAGCCCCACCCCAGCAAAATATCTACACCTATTTCTGCATTTGCACAACTTACGGACTATAAAAGACATAGGACATCCAGATAAAGTTGGGTCCTCCCCCTCCTGGAATTCCCCCTCCCCTGTGATGGGACAGCAGAGGAGCCAAGGTCTACCCAAGGCCCCTGAACCCGAGTCAGGCACTGCTGCTTGTTCCTGCCTTCTCCCATACATGTCAGGACCCGACCCCCAAGGCCCCGCCCAGATACCCCCACGGGGCCGGCCACCCCCACACCCCGAGCCCCCAGGCCCCCACCCAGACCTGCCCAGGGGCAATGCAGCTGCCGGGCAGTAACCCATGGCCACCGCCAAGACCTCCAAGGGGCCCCACTCACAACCGCCAGTAGTCCACCCCCGAGGCAACCCAAGCACCTCCAGAGGGGGGCAACGGCCCCCCAGTCCCAGACACCCCCAGTGAACCCACCTCCAAGGAACGTCCAGATACTCCAAACTCAGACCCTCCACCCCCTCACCCACATCATCCCGCAGGACAATATCAATGGTCCCCCATCATTGCTATGTGATGGAACCGATCAAAGGAGCCCAGAGACATTGATCTGAAGTGGAAGCAGAGGCTATATCAAGTGTAATGTGATCTAACAAAAGATTTCTATACTGGTTAATGCAAAGAGTTTCTCTATTTTTCCAATTCAAGAGGATAGTTTTCTTAGCTATGCATATGGCAGTCAGAACCATGTGAGCCAAAGATGTTTCAATCAGGACATCATCCAGGTTTCCCAGTAAACAAAGAGAGGGGGTGGTTGGGATATGATATTTCAGACACTTTGACAGGTCTTCACATACTCTACCCCAAAATTCCACACTTGTTAGTAATAATGCCGCAACACAGGACTTGTGAATGCATATTACACCTTGGCGCAACAGAGGAAGGTGTCATAATCACGTGAGGAGTTGCTGCCGGGCTCCTGCCAGCAACGGTTTTTTAAATTAAAGTAAGCACGGAATGCAAATTTTGCTTTTGGAAACGGAATCAGCTGAGATGATAAGCTGGAGCGATGCAAAGCTGCAGGAGCTTCTCTCCATTAGAGCTGGTGGTCAGATCACCAGAGGATGCACAGGGACCGTGGATCGCATTAAAGTATGTCCAAGATCAACTTTATTTATATAGCCCTTTTCGTACAAAAAAATGCAACTCAAAGTGTTTCACAGACTAAAATGGTCCCATATTCCCATCCCAGCCCCCCTCCCCAAGTATAAAACAATTGACAATTACACTTCCCCTCCCGCAACCAATTTCCAAGGTGGACATACAATAACCCAGACACTCGCGCGCGCGCGCGCGCGCACACACACACACACACACACACACATACATGAACAACAGAGTAAACAATAGGCTGAGTTCAGATGGGTCAGGTAATAGACGACACATCATCAGCAGAGCCATCTGCCTCGACAGCAACAGATCCATGGCAGCAGCCAAGACACCGGCCCATGACGCCCAGGGAGGGAGGGCGGAGACCCCCACCACTGCCCGGGCACTACCCGAGGAGGGCCCCGGCCGCCGACCACTGGCCCCAAGGCAGAGGGCTCCGCAGAGGAAACACTGGAGGATTAAAATATATAACTGTAAAATAACAAAAGCCAATGTGGATAGAAAGTAACTGATAAAAAGTGATTATAAAGATAGTAAAAGAAAACATAATCATGTAAAAACACTATGATGTAAATAAAATAATAAAATTAATTAAAAGAGATAAATAGGTATATATATATATATATATATATATATATATATATATATATATATATATATATATACACAAACAAATATGACAGACGATTCAGTTAAACAAACTAGATAAATAGTAATCAATTAAAAGCTAAGCTAAAAAGGTGATAAGATAAACGGAAGTCAGCCGCAATGCAGACTCCCCCCTTACCCCCTTTATAACGCCATTGCATAATCATGTAAAAAGGTAGAAGCACGGGTTTGGAGTTTGTAGCTGATGATTTTCCTGAAGCCTTTCCACACAGAGGCAGAGATGTTCTCAAATATCTGCTGCTGCATATTGTCATAGTGCATCTTGCTTACTGGTGTACCTCAAAGCTCCATTCTGGGGCTGATGCTTTTTATCATTGTCTTTGCTGCCATTAGGTTCTACTTTCTAAAAGCACAACATCACCCTCCAGTGTTTGAGGGTGGGGGAGGGGCCGCATGATGGAAAATAATTTTTAAAACTGGGCATTTTTAATAATGCGTTGGACAGTTTTTAACAGAGATGGGGAATTGTGGCATTAACAAGTCATTCCCATGCCATGTTTTTCTTCAGTTCAGCAACTAAACCAGGTGATTTAAATTAGCACAGTTAATGAACCTTGTTCAGTTGCTGAGCAGAACAAAATCATAGCATGTTGTTGACTTGCTGATGCTACAATCCCCAATCTATTCTTAACCCAATTTTAGTAGTTTCAGCAATTGCCTGTACTAGGTGCATGTCAGTTATTTGACCCTTCTCAAACAGCTTTATGTCTTTTCCATGACCAATGGATGTGTCTTTGCGCATGGTTGTTTAAGAAATGACAAGCGACTCATTGCACCAGTTGGGGTTAAATAACTTGTTGCCCATGCAGTAATTATCCAATAGGAGTCTCGTAACTATTTGCTTAGTTAAATCCAGGTGGAGATTTTCTTTGGAGCCAGGCAGTGTTTTGATGTCTGTTTTACTGAGTTCTGTTCTCCAAAACTGCTTGAGGATTTGTTTAAAATAAACCTCTTTTATTAATCCAAACACTTAAGTAATGTTTGATGACATGGTCAGCTTTTGAAGTGTTCTGCTTGTTGTTCCTCAGACAGAGACAGAGCTTTTTGAGTCATTAATCCCAGGTTGTAGAATGAGTTACCTCTAAATGTAAAACGGGCTGCTTCGCTAATTGGGTCTGAAGACTCACTTCTTCACCCTTGATTTCGAATGAAATGGTTGATTTTTTTTTTTTTGTCATTTGAATAGCCTTGTTGCCACTGTATTGCTGCTTTTATTTATATTTGATTGTATAGCTCTTTGGTAGACATAGCATTTTATTCGTGCTTTATAAATAAATTGCATTTGAATTTGAATATTGATTTAAATGAAAATTTTTATTGGATCGGAGTTTTTTTCCCTATTGCCTAGCCTTACCTGCTCCCGATAGTCAGTTTTCTGTTGTCAGTTGCTCTACCATGCAAGATAATGCTCCAGAAACAGCAGTTTTTTTATGTTCCACTAATCACATTAATTACACTTGATAACAGGTGGAAGCCAGGAGACCATGGTGTGCCAAGGACATGGTGGTTACTTTTCCCGACTGAGATTAATAGTATTGCTTATTGTGGGGTGGTCCCTTATTAATCTCAGTAGTTATTTTCATTATTATTACTATTATTGAACTGTAAATGTAATGCTTTTCTTAACAAATGTTATAAATGGCATTGAATAAGTAAAGCTGGTGAAAGATTTTTTGTTTGTATTTCCATTTAAGGCTGTGAAACAAAACGGTTGAAGTCTTTCAAAGAGGGTGATTTTTTTAATATACTAACTGGTAATTGAAAAAATCTGTTCTTAAAAGTATAAACGACCCCAGTCTAAAATTGTAATTTGCCTTTTGTCTTCTTAGTGGCCAACTTTGACCCGGACACATTCAGCGTGATGTACTGCGAGTTCTGCAGGGCTGGCTTTGACACCCGTGCTGGCCTGTCCAGCCATGCCCGGGCTCACCTTCGTGATTTTGGTATCACTAACTGGGACGTCACCATTTCACCCATTCACATTATGAGGGAGCTGTTCTCCAGAAGGCCAGACCTAGTGATCCCCATGGGCCCCCCTCGGAGTCACTGCAGTTCTGTAGATGAGGAGGGAGATCTCAGTGATGATGATGATGAGAAGGACTCTAAAGACAGAGGAATAATCCAGGTTAAACTTGAAGGGGAGACAAGCAAACGGAGTGTTAATGTTTCCGATTCTGGGGTCCTGCCTGCAGCAAGTCATCAGCTCTTTAAAAAGTCTGAAGATGGTGAAGATGGTAAAGGTGAGTTTTTATTGTTAGTTTTCTAAAAGTGATCTTCCTTTCTTTCTTAGTGATGAGTTAGCACTGCCCCAGATCAAGGTGATAATTGGGGATCTTACAGGTGCTTGAAATCCTTAAAGAAGTGCTTGAAACTTTTGCTGAAATTGGCTATAGTATAGGAAATTTTAAACCATAAGTTAGTAAATTTCATTTATATAGCACTTATCACTGAAAGAGAATCACAAATTGCTTCAAATAGATCAAAAACAAAACTAATCATAGTCATACAATCAAAAAGATCTTACAACAGAAATAAATAAAAATCAGAAAACAATCCCAAAATTATAAAATGATCATAAATATCAGAAAACTAATGAAAGAGGAGTTTGAGTGCCCTAATGATCCTAGAAGCTATGTTGTCTGGGGCACTTTGTGCCCCTGGTAGGGTCTCCCATGACAAATTGGTCTTAGGTGAAGGGTGAAACAAAGAACGGTTCAGAGGATCTTTCATGGATGTACTAGCAAAGAGTTGGTGTACCCCGGCCCGGAGGGTTACCGGGGTCCCAGGCCAGGGGTTGGGCCCGTGAGCGAGCGCCTGGTGGCCGGGCTTTCGCCCATGGGGCCCGGCCGGGCCCAGCCCGAACCAGATACAAGGATTTAAAGACTCTTTTAAAAGTAAGCGACTTCATCCGTCCCTATCTCTCAGCAGTTTTTAATTTCATCTATTTGAACTTGGTTATAATGACCCCGTGTTGAACATGGTGGTTTACCATCCACCAAACCAATGGTGAATGATTTCTTGAGAATTGTAGACTCTTTTAATTTGGTGCACCATGTTTGTGCCCCGACCCTGGAACATAGACATACTCTTGACCTGGATGTGGTGTGTTGGTATCTGACTTGGTGATTTGTGATGCTGTTTTTTCAGACCACAAACCTGTGTTGTTTACTTTGTTTCTGTCTGATATGTGTAATGAGTTAATTTACATGTTATTTAATAAGCCGTCAGACATAAGATTCCATAGTAAATATGAAATCAACCTTATGGATCTGTGGGTACTTTTAACTAGAAGATTGGAACTTTTTATTGCAGGGATTATGTAACCACTTCGTATTAATTCAGAGACAAAAGAAGTGAGTCAAGTTTTAAAAGTTTAAAGATGTATTACTAAACAAATTAAGACTAGACAAATGCATGATGTAACTAAGGTGAATGAGACGGAGAATGGTGTAGTGTGGAATGTTGCTCAGAACAAGGAAATCCGAAGAAACCATTAGTTCTGGTGGGAAGTGAAGGTGATTTCTTCGTGCTAAGCTTTGGTTAGGAGATTCATAAACACATTCAACGCCATTCCGTCGGCCTACATACCCTTTTGGAAGTCCTTGTTAGATCAGGAATGTCGAGGTCCAGGTTGACCCTCTCTGGAACTGAAGCCGGTAGGAAAAGCACTCTTTGCTGACCAGGCCAGTCTTTGAGATACTTCTGGGTCACGACAGTTTTGTTGGCATCTAGCGAGACCCAAAACTGGGTCATGATGGTTCAGCTTTTATTCTGAAAGGAACCTTTGCAGCAGGTGGAACAGCAACAGATTTTATCCAGCTTGTCGTTGGTTGTTTCGGCTGAAGAGGAAAGTTACGGATTGGCCACTCCGACACTTTGAACTGGCGTTAAAGATGACGTGGGCATAGTTTTATACTTCGGATGTTTTGGTTTATGGTCGAATGAAAAGATGACAGATTTACCAAACACCACCAAAACCACGCCTCCGTCAGATCTGGCAGATTCTGATTGGATCAGTAAAAGCAATGTGTCATGTCTTAACGCTACGTGAGATCAGTCCTAGTGGAAACATTTAAAGTCATATTACCTATTATATTCTATAGGATTGTAATAAAGTCATTAATATTTTAATTTCACAGATTGGTCACATCTTATTATTGACTAACACTTTGTTTGATTAGCTTTATTAAAAATAGAGTTCTTTAATTCATTAAAAGGAGAGAGTCCTTTCTTCATTCTTCTCTTGAGCTGGAAGGAAGCAGTTTAGAAGCAAATGCATGAGAACTTGAGGTCATATCTCATGCACACTAGTTCTGTGTCAGAGGAGAGGGGGGAAATGACTTTTGGTGGAAAACAGTCATTTCATTCCGTTACACATGTCTGATGTGACTGTGGCAGCCTCTGTGCACCCTCGGCAAGTTGGTTATTAATCCTTCAACTGCTGCTCATTTTTCTACTGCCTTTGATGATGTTCCTGCACCTCCTAGTTCTGCCTTATTTGATGTGAATGCACTAAGCTCCTGGCTTCATGCTACCTGCAGCAGTGTCTTGGATTCTGTAGCTCCACTGAAGCCTAGGCTGCCCAGGACCAGATTGGAGCCATGGCTGAATGAGTATACACTCTTATTAAGGCAGAAATGTTGACTGGTAGAAAGGATGTGGAAGAAGGATAGGTTACTGAGCTCTTTTCATGTGTTAAGAGACTGTCTTTGGGACTATCAGGAGGCTGTGAGAGATGCTAGGATGGTGTATTTCTCAAAAGTGATATTCTCAGCTAGTCACAGGCCACAGATGCTTTTTAATGTAATTGATAACATCCTCAGTATTCACCATTGAGCCCTCTGTGATGTCTTGTGAAGCATTTTTGAGTTTTTTTGTGGACAAAATAGTCTATATCAGAGCTCAGATTCTGTCAGTCCCCTGTCAGGCTCTTTCTGGTCCCTGTTCAGCTACTTTTAGTCAGTTTGAGCCACTTACGTTGGACTGCCTTTGGGATTTTGTTAACTATTTAAAACCTGCTGGTTCTCCCTTGGATTTGATTCCCCTTAGGCTTTTAAAATAAGTTTTTATCTGTTATCAGTTCATCCTTGGGTTCTTGCCATTATTAATCAGACCATTGTCTCTAGAGTAGTACCAGAGAACTGGAAACATGCGGTTGTTCAGCCTTTACTGAAGAAGCCTGGACTCGACTCATCTGCCTTGTCCAGTTATAGGCCTATCTCCAGACTTCCTTTTATTTCTAAAGTATTGGAGAAGGTAATTTACTTACAGCTGACTGAGTATTTGATGGGAAATTACATTTTGGGAAAATTCCAATCTGGTTTTAAGCCAGTCCACAGTACAGAATAGGCAATGCTCTGGGGTTTTTTAAATAACATTTTATTGGCAACGATTCTAAAGACTTTGTTATTTTGGTATTGTTGGATCTATCGGCTGCATTCTATACTGTTGATCATGCTCTCCTAATTTCTATGTTGGAACATATTGTGGGTGTTCATGAGGTTGCGCTGGTTTGATTTGTGTCGTACCTGGCTGACAGAACTTTCAGTGTCTCATTGGAGAATTTTACTTATGTTTATGTGTTTATGTTTATGTATTTAGCAGACACTTTTGTCCAAAGCGACTTACAAGTGATAATCGGCATATTGCCCTTGAGGCTAACAACAACAATAACAACAACAACATTGACATCAGTCATGGAGAGGAGGGAACAAGGAGTGGACAGTAGAGAGGGGGGACGGGTGCAGGGAGGGTGCTAGTTTAGAAGATGCTCTCTGAAGAGCAGGGTCTTCAGGAGTTTCTTGAAAATTGAAAAGGAAGCCACAGTTCTGGTAGTGCTTGGAAGGTCATTCCACATTTGTGGAACGATGAATGAGACGAGTCTGGATTGTCCTGAGCGTGGTGTAGGCACTGCTAGCCGACGATCCTGTGATGACCGGAGCGGCCGGGCCGAGACGTAAGCCTTTGCAAGAGGATTCAGGTAGATGGGAGCCGTACAATCTCGGACTTTGTATGCTAGTGTTAGCAATTTGAATTTGATGCGTGCTGTTAGCGGTAGCCAGTGGAGCTCAATGAACAGAGGGGTGACGTGTGCTCTTTTTGGCTGATTGAAGACCAGACGCACCGCTTCTTCTTCTTCTTCTTCTAATACCTCATTCTCTTGTGGAGTTCTCCAGGGTTCTGTGTTGGACCCATTGCTGTTTTCTTAGTACCTGCCACCTCTTGGTTCAATTTTTAAGAAACATGGGTGTTATTTTCACTGCTATGCAGATGATACACAGGTATACATGCCTTTTAAGAGGGGCCACGATCATGCTTTTGATTTTACATTGTCTCGTTGAGGATAGCCAATGGATGTTTTCGAACTTCCTTCTTTTAAATGATAAAAAGACAGAGGTTGTAGTTTTTGGTCCAAGTACTTTGTCTAGGGTGGGTGCAGTTGACCTCAGTCAGCTCGCCCCATTCTTGAAACTGAGTGTAGCTTCCCTGGGTGTAGTACTGGATGGGGATCTTGTCTTGAACAGGCAGATTAGTGCAGTCACTAAATCTGCCTAATGACTGCTCAGAGTGAAAAAGGCTAGCTTTGTCTCGTTAGCCATCCGTCTTCGTCACTGCCACGGCTCCGCTCTCTCGGTCCGCCAGGCAACGCCTACTAATGTTGCATTTTTCAAAATTGAAAAGTGGGTGGAGAACATCGACATACATATATGGACAATGGATTTCCATAGGCTCCAATAACATGGTTTTGTACTAAAATGGGAGGTAGCCACCATGCGGAGGTGTGAGCTAAGCTAACGGAGGTAGCAACCTAGCTACAACCGGAGTTAACTGTGCACAACACCAGAGCTTCTGAGTCAGAGATACGCCTGACTGACTGCTGGGTAAAACGGGGTGGAACACGGAGGTCTCGGAGACCTCCACAGAGGTCTCTGAGACCTCCACAAGCCGGCAGCCGCACAGCAGACAAGCGCCGCTGCGATCTGAGATGCACAGAGCTGCCGCTGGGGAGAACCGGGTGGAAAGGTTTCCATCCCAGAGCTCCACAAGCCGGCAGCCCTCGCAGCAAACCGAAGCCGCGATCAGACAGAGATGCGCCGAGCTGCGGGGAGACACAGCCGGCATTCCGGCTGGAAAACATCGGGCTCCCGAGAGCTCCACAAGCCGATAGTGGGAACCCAGCTCCACCAACATGTTATATTTCAACCCATTTTCTAAAGTGCAGCATTGTGTTAAATGCACT